TTGAATTTTTATAAGAAGCTAAAATTAAATATATAAAGCTGGGTGGCATTGAGACACACCTTTAATCCCAGCACTCAGGAGGCAGAGCCAGACAGATCTCTGTGAGTTCAAAGCTATCCTGGTCTACAGAGCAAGATCAACTTTCCACAAAGTTCATGTGATGTCCAGGAGAATCAACATAAAAACAACTCTCTGGACCTTGATCTAATTTGCTAATGAACATTTCAGTTCAATAACAGCAGATGGCTTAGATAAACGTGCAGAGCACTCTGGCCCCAAGCTTCTGTGTCATTCTGTACAGAAAACAGTGCTGTGACTCATGTGAGTCATAAATGGGAAGATCATAAACATTCACTCGAAGATGGACTTTCAGAACACTGTGTCACTAGGAACAAAGACTACATAATCATTGTCCTCTCTTTCTTGAAAGCAAGCTGAGCTTGTTAAACATGTTCACGGGAAGCTGATTAATGCTGAGAGAACAGAGTTGAGGGCATGTTCTTTAAATTCCACATCTTACTGATGTGAGTTTTGCTAAAAAATAATAATTTTTTAAAATCTTAGCTCAACACTTCAAAGGCTCAGTTTTAGTGGGCAGAATATTATTTTTGCTTCAGATACAAAGAGGTGTTATCATGAGCAAAGACACCTATAGGTACCACTTTGATTCTCAGGGAGAACACACAATTCAAATACAACGTTTTTACAATGATAAGGTAATCTCACTACTATTATGTATCTCCACTGTTTTTATTTACCTGAAAAGAAGAACTCCCTCTCATACCTGCTATGGATTACCAGTCTACTGCAAGGTTGTCAGATCCCCAGAGTAGGGAAGGACTTAGCCAGTGAGGTGAATGGTTTGCTTTCATTTTGAAAATTACCACAGACTCTTCATATGACTTAAGTCTGAGTAGAGCCACTTGACTTCACTGTGCTTATGAATGTGGAGAAAAGTATACACAGGAAATAGGTATGCGAGTGTGTTCAGTGTTTTTATCCTTGTTCTGGTGAATTTATGAACTCCATAAAATTCCCTTTAGAACTCTCATATCTTAATCATCCTTATTATCATTTTACTTAGTAGTAGAACCTGTGCCAAACATAAAATGAAGCTAATTCTCAAGCAATCCTAACATTATCTCTAAGGTAAAATACTGGGTCACCTGCAATAGCTCCAAGAAGTTCTTAAAAACTGCAGTTGATGAGAAGGTCTTTCTCAGAATTTGAAGATTAGAAGATAATTTGATTGAAAATGTGATAGGAGTTAAAAAAAGTAAGTGCAATTCAGAATAAATGGCAATTGACTGCAGATCACAAAAGCTGATTAAAAGAGACAAAACCAAGTGCTCCAGCAAATCCAAGTCCTGCTAGTGGACAGAATTTAACATCATGTCCTTGAGTCCCATCCCATTCCTAGTGAGAAAAGGAACCAATGTATTCTTCTTGAAAACTGAGTCACCCATTCATGAGATTCCATCGTTCTGGGCCTGTGGTCACTTAGTTAGTTTTCCATTAAGCAGTCATTGGAGAGAGGATTAGAACCCAAGAAGAAGCTAGAACTAAAGCTGTACGTATCTCTTTAAATCTGTGGATGTGACTCAAGTGATAGTTGCATTGGAAAAGACTATCATGAACGCCAGCTTAGTGATGGGCTTTCTAGAGCCAGTGGGAAATGCACATTTAATGCACCTTGCTCAGGCACAGAACCACATTCCTTCGACATCATCCAAGGATCCAGAATAGGCAAACAAATCAGCAAGTGGAGAATATGTAAAACACCTGGAATCCATAAGGTCTACACTATTTCTGTTGAAATTTGGGGAAATATCTCAGAGGAAACTTTATTTTTGCCCATTGATCTGTTTATCTGCTAAAAAAAACTACTGTGTGATCTGAAGAGAGCAAACTAGATACTATCCCAGCCCGCCCCCCACCAGAGACTACTTGGCAGCTAACTCTAGGTGCTAGGACTAGTTAGGAACAGCTGGTATAGTAAATAGGTTTATATATAAGGGGAAAATATCATATAAATTAGTTCTTATATTGCCTAGCATAGTGCCTAAAACACATGGCCTCAGCAAACATTTAATGATTAACAACCTTGAGTAAGTTAATTGAACACATCTGAAAAATAATAAAAAACAGCTGTACATTTCTTAAAGCTTCCTCCTTCTAGGGCTTGAAGTCAATGATTCTTTCACATGCCCAAGAGTGTAGAATAGTTTGAGTTTGGTTTGGGACTTGTGGGGAATTCCTTTTCTTTGCTCCAAAGATGATAGTTATGTTATTAGTGTTCTTATCTTGTGACTTGTATTTCCCAGTCTGGAGTTAAACCTTAGACTTTTTGGAGTTTCCCCTCTTATCAGTGGGTATAGTTAGCTTCATTTATCTACTGGGTTTACGTGGGAAATATGAAGTAAAAAGTAATTTTTGTTTTTCTTTTAGCCAGCTTCTTACTATGTGGACTGTGTGGTCTTCAATTTGTTCTGATTCTTGTTCTTCTGCCTCTAGAGTACTGGGATTACAGACTTGATTTCATTACCACACCCAAAGCATTGTACTTTGATTATCTTTATGAAAACATTTGAATTATATTTATTAGGCTAAGTATCATCACCCTAAAAGCCTGTACAGTCTGGATGATTTCAATAATTATCATCTCTGTCTCAAATATGATGATATCCCTGTAACTTATAACTTAGTTTCTACCTTATCGAATATGTCTTTGGCCTTCAGTTTAAAGCAGCCTTAGTACTGTAATAAACAAACAAACAATGCCAATCTTCCATACAAATTCCTTAAGATTTTGAACCTCCACCCCTGCTCCCAGGGACCACAGTATAAAACCTAAGCTTCCCATGCTCTTCCTACTAGCCAGCACAAGCAGCTTACTGGGAGTCCTTCAGTTCATTGTTGTTGCTGTTTCCTCTGCTGCTTTCACCCAGAAATGTTTCCCAGATACCTGTAAAACTTAGCTCCTCATTTTCAAAGATCTTTAGACATTTTTGTAATTACTGATTGCTGCATTTCCAGGTACAGCCCTTCCCTACTTGCTATACTTTACCAACAACAGATTGGAAGCTCTGGAGGCTAAGTCTTTGGTGTCTGGTATTAGAAACATTCAATAAACTTTGGCTAAGGGGTTGGGGATTTATCTCAGTGGTAGAGCGCTTGCCTAGCAAGTGCAAGGCCCTGGGTTCAGTCCTCAGCTCTGAAAGATAAAAAAAGAAAACTTGGGCTAAATGGACAACGGATAGGTGAGGAAACGGTAGTTATTAAGTCATGTAGCTCAACTTTTTCTTCTTGATTCTAAAAGCTTAAGTCACTTTCTGCAGATATGCTCCATTATCTCATACCTAGATACTTGTAAAATGTAAATGTGCTTTTCATGAAACTTGTCCACTTACTTTGTCAATGTGGTCTCTGTTCAATTATTTCGCAAAATTTATTGCATGTGTACCCATGCCAGGCAAGGTGCTGGGCAATGTAAAGGAAACAGTTACTTACATAGAGCCCCTGCCTTTCACGGCTGCTGTTCTCTTAAACAGTAGATGTTAAACAAACAAATCATATTTTTTATTATTTGGCATGAATCCCGTAAAGTAACACTGATGCCACACAAAGTAAGTGGAAATGAAAAGAGAGAACTTAAAGAAATTCTTAGAAAGCCTCCTCTGTGGATGAGGTTGGTAACAAAACATGAAATTTGAGAGAGAAGTAGTAATAAAACAGGGGAGCCCAGTATGGTGCCACATGCCTGTGATCCCACAACCTGGAGAGTGAAGGCAGGCAGGCAGGAAGGACAGTCTCAACTACGAAGTTGAGTGCCTGGCTACCCTGGACTACAGGAGACTCCATGTCAAGAATAATTAACTAATTGAAAGGGAAGGAAAACTGCATAACCCAGGAAAAGGGGAGAGCCTGTGAAAGAGTTCTGAGCCACCAGAAACACATATTTGTATTATTTAAACCAAGGGAACACCATGGTTTCACTGTGTTGAGAGGATCATGACACGAAACAGCCTTGCAAGGTGAGTGAGGACGAGAACAGTCGTAACAGCTTGTGAGTCGTCACAAGTTTGTTTCTTGTTCTAAGGGACATAGAATCCATGAAAAACTTACAAGCAAGAAAGTGAGTTTGTCATGTTCATTCAACAGTCAGGACATTTAAACAAAGGTGTGAGCGCTGGGAGAGTCTCTGGAGGCTGGAGGAGCAGCCACAGGGCAATGAGCTGAGGTACTTTCACACTAGTCCTCAGAGAAGTGTTGGTGCCTTGATGAGAGCAGAGTTGTAAAGAGGAGGTGAAAAAAGAGATTGCATTTTAGATGGGCTGCAACTGAGAGGAGGGAAAGAGTAAGTGCTAGCTAGCTACTTACCCGTTTTCTCTGTTCATGACAATTTCTGATAATTTAATAAAGTAGAACTGAGTCCACATGTTCAAACACCTCCTGTGAGTGATTTCCATGATCCTTCAGAATGACTTAAACCCCACCCTGTACTGACATACTTTTTGAATATTTGAATATTTAATTACATAATATTATGATCATTTGCATGTATATCTCTGTGCCAACCAGCAAGATCTTTGAAAATAGCGATCATATCTTTTCATCTTCATATAAGCTGATTTAAATCAGTGTTAGCACAGAACACAAGCTAATTGTTAGAATAAAAAAGAAATGTAAGAAGACAGCAGAAAGAATCCTAGTATCAGAATGACACACCCAATCTTCTAGTCTACATGTTCTTAAAAATATGTATAAACTTTTATCAAAATGTTCTAAGACTCATATTTAAAACTGCTTTAAAATTTTCAGATGCTCGTTAGTGTGAGAATGATTCTACTCATGAAATTTCCCTTTTTCCTGTAGTCCTTTATCAACCTAAATTATGCAACAGAAATCAAAGAACACATTTTAAGTATGTTGAAATATTCAGTCAATGTCAACAATTCAACAAAATTTGGACATTAATTATTCATTTTATTTTTTTAAAGAATGTTTGATGTAGGTGGACAGAGATCAGAGAGAAAGAAATGGATCCACTGCTTTGAAGGAGTGACGTGCATTATATTTTGTGCTGCACTAAGTGCCTATGACATGGTGCTTGTAGAAGATGAAGAGGTGGTAAGTCCAAGGCCACAGTGGAGGAAGAGGAGAACACCCAAGGCACACCAACCGGTGCTGCCCAGTGGTAGTGCTGCCCAGTGGTAGTGCTGCAGTTCCCAGTCCAATGTCCTCACAAACCTTACAAACGTGCGTGTTATCTAGGCCCTTGTGACGTCCAGGCCCAAACTCTGAGGTAATGACGTCACACGTTCTCTTTCTTTACATCACAGAACAGAATGCATGAAAGTCTTCACCTGTTCAACAGCATCTGTAATCACAAGTATTTCGCGACCACCTCCATTGTTCTGTTTCTCAACAAGAAAGATCTCTTCCAGGAAAAAGTGGCCAAGGTGCACCTCAGCATCTGCTTCCCAGAGTACACAGGTAACCTTGTTTCCCTCCGTTCTAGATAGCAAGCTGGTGTAAGACCAATGTTCCTATGTGTCGCACCCTTCCCACCGTGTGTGTGTGTGTGTGTGTGTGTGTGTGTGTGTGTGTGTGTGTGTGCTGTACATGAAAACTGGGTGCATGCCTGTGTAATCTCAAGACTTATATCTAATGTCTTCAATCACTCTTCACCTTTAAATGATTAATTCTCACTGTGTATATGTGTGAGCTTAATAACAAGTTTATGTGCACCTCCTGTGTGTGCATAATGGAGGCTGGGACAGGGCTCTGGATACCTTGGAACTGGAAATTACAAAGAATAGTGAGTCACCATGTGAGTTCTGTGAACCAAATCCAGATCCTTTATGAGAGTAGTAAGTGCTTTTAACCTCTGAGCAATATCCCCAGTCCCTGACCCTTTATTTTTTTGAGACATGGTCGCTCACAGAACTTGTAATTCATCTATGCAAATAAACTGGCTGACCAATAGCCTTCATGAATCCACTTGTCCCCACCCTCTCCCTCACTCCAAGCTTGGGGTTGCAGAAGCACAGTGCCACACCCTGATTTAAGCGTGGGTTCTGGCGATCCAAACTCTGGCCCTCGTGCTTGTGTGGCAGTTTACCAACCTTCCTATTTGGATCTTAACACGAAGGTGATTCCCACTGAAAACAAAGAGGAACGTTGCTTTATTGTGTAAATTAAAGCAAACCCCAAATGGAACAAACTGGAAAATGTTAAAGAGGAGAGTGTAGCTACTCTGCATGAACATCCAAGGATACTGCAAGCTGTGTTACATTCAGTATAATAATGTCACTGTAGCGCCACCCGAACCAGAGCTTGCAATATCACATTGGAACTTGATGACTCTTCAGTCTACAATGTGGCCAATGAGCAGCAGGAATGAATTTGAGAAGAGTGGTACTTCTCTTTCTCTAGTCTTGAGAGGTTCCTGCATTTGATGGCTGATCCCATCAGTCAGTAACTGCTAAGGTCCTGCCACACAAAAGGTTTGATTTACCTTTAGAGACTTAATTTTTAAGTACTTAGATGTACTCTTGTTGATAAAATTATCTAAGATGGAAAAGGTCATAATTTAAACATAAATATAAATACAAATTTACCCTTTAGGTATTAGATATACTAAGACCATGGCAGTCTGTCAAAGTAGAAAATTATGCTAGTTAATTTTTACTTAGTGTGTGTCATTCTAGAATCACAAACATCATTTATAATGTCTGCAATCTATCACGTAATAAATTTAATCATGAATGTATATTTAATGGTATAGATTAAATATAGACATAGCTAAGGGATATATAATTAATAGTTTCTTAGGTCAGATTTTATTCACAGAGAAATAAATACTTTGAGAGAGCAGAAATTTTCTGTACTTCCTCAGTTTCCTCTGCCATAGCATCCTGTTAGTTACATCTTACATTGATGTAGTACACTTGTTGTGATTGACGGAATGATGTTGACACATAATTAACTGAAATCCACAGTGTAATTAGGGTTTGCTCTCTGTGTCTGAGAGTTCTATGTGTTTTGCTAAATGTGTGTCATGTTAATTAGTTTTCTGTTAAGATAACAAATACCCGAGACAAATCAGCTCACAAAGTAAAAAGCAGTTTTTTAAATCTCAGTTTGTGAAGTTTTATGGTCAGCTGGCCCTGCTACTTATTTTTAAGTCTGTGGCAAAGGAATGTGGCATAACAGGTCTGTTAGCTCCCTGTCAAGAGGAAGCAAGAGAGAAAGAAATAGGCACCCCTCAGTCCCCTTTGAAGACACATCTTCAGTAGCCAAAAAGACCTCCCATGAGGCCCTGCCTCTTAAGAATTTCTGCTTCCTCCAATGGTACCACGTTAGGGACCAAACCTGTAACAAATGGGCCTTCGGGGGACATTCAGATAGAAACTAGAGAATTAGTATATCATATGAAATAGTTCTGTTGTCCTACAATCACCTAGGTTTCGCCTATATATATCCTCACCCTCCCTCTAAATTCTAGTAAGTACAAATGTTTCAAATATTATTATAGTTTCTTATTTTCCAGAATCTCAAACTTTAGGATTATACAGTGTCCAGCCTTCCCCAGTAACTGGAACATTTTGCATCCCCACTAGCAATGATTACAGTTCCTGTGATTTTGTATTCCTGTCAATATTTACTTTCCAAGTTTTTAATTTTCATTTTATTTATTTTATGTTATTGTATTTTTTGTTTATTTATTTGTTCATTTATTCACTAGAACTGGGTGTTGAACTCCTGGCCTATGCATGCTAGGCAAGGTGCCCCAAGCCACCTTCCAAGCATAGTTGTGTTATACAGTTTGAAGACTTTATTTTCACCTAGAATTTTGCTTCTCACAACAACGAAGTACAAAAACAAAAATTTTATCCCATTAGAAAGTCTTTAGGGTCCCTTTGGCCATGTCCTCAGCACATACATTCTGGTGTGGAGCCAATCAGTTGATGAGGTTGTTTGTCAGCTTTACTCTTTTATACCTCCCCTTCTCCATCTGACCTGAGTGTTATTCTACCAAAGTTTCTCAGGGATGGAGGAGCCAAGAGCTACTACTCTCTATAGTCTTCCACAGCTCAGCTCAGCTCTTCTGTTTGCTCTGCAGCCAAGACAATGAGTTTCCTTACCACTTTTTCTATTTGATTTGTACACTGCCTCTACAAAATTTCATTCATTTGCTTCTGACCAGATCTTCCAAAGTTCAATCTATTTCCCAACTCCATCCAGAAGGACTGGCAGAAAGGATGTTTCAGACCATGATCAGTTGTACTTTTTGGCTTTCCTTATCCTTTTTCTCCTCTCTCTTCTCAACTCTCTCTTAAGGCCTCGCTCAATACTACCTGTTTCTGCAAGCTAATTTGCCATAGTCTCACTTATTTTCTCTTTTAGCTTGTATTAAAGCATATGCATAACCCCAGGAACACAAGATGCAGTATTTGTGACAGAGAGTAAGAAAGTGTATGTGTGTGTGTGTGTGTGTGTGTGTGTGTGTGTGTGTGTGTGTTATTTGCATCACTCATCTTGTTATATCAGCTTTTAAATTTTTTAAAACTTCAATTATAATTTTTTAAACTTCAATTATAAACATCATTTCTCCCCCTCCTCTCTCTTGCCCCTCCCATATCTGACCACCATTTTCCTGCCTCGCAGATTCACAGCCTGGTCTTATTTAATTTTTTTTACATATGCATCTAAATGAATCAACATATAACTCTCAGAAATCCCAACAGAGCTGACATCCCTAAAATCTGACCTCTGACACCTTGACTTTGCGGTCGGGAGGTGATGTACATTAAGATTCCATACATCAGGCAGCATCATGCAATGCACAGTTGCTAAATCCTAAAACTTGCTGGTGCTATTTATAGCTCTGTGATTTCTATGATGTGATTAATGTTTATGTCTTTCATTTCTTTGTACATTAAGGACCAAATACATTTGAAGATGCAGGAAACTACATCAAAAACCAGTTTCTAGATCTGAATTTAAAAAAAGAAGATAAGGAAATCTACTCTCACATGACCTGTGCTACTGATACCCAAAACGTCAAATTCGTGTTTGATGCAGTGACAGACATAATAATAAAAGAGAATCTCAAAGACTGTGGGCTCTTCTGAGCAACCTCTTTTCTTCCATTTGTGGTGGTTGTAGTCTGTTCAAGACATCAAAGTTGCTGTGTGACTAGCTCCAGTAGATACTAACTTATCTAGAAATATAACTAGCATTATAACAAAAGTTTCACACACAAAAAAAAAATGTTACTGTATTATCACCTGTATCTGGCTAAGGTTTTATTTCCTTGGGGCATGGAGGGTAAAGTTTCTTGTGTTCTCTATCTAGAATGTGATGTATCTTGGTATCACAATATGCATTCATGTTGGAGATGGGCTACAAGTGGCCAATTTTTAATAATAGAATAAATTAGAGAATGTGCTAGAACATCTCCCCTAGCTAGATTTTGAAAAGCATTCAATGCCATGTCTGTACTACAGGAACTATACAAAAATGATACAATGCATAAAACTTGGCCACCTGCCCTTCATTTAGGCTGCCACAAGGCATACAATGTCCATGCTTTTGTTGATGGAAAATTGTAAATGTAAAATAAATATGTACAATATTTCTAAGTGGCATGGGGTATTATTAAAAGTGATAACCTGAGCTTTGTGGTGACAATTCCAGACTTTAAGAGAAAAAGATTTATTTAATAGAATGTTTTCTATTTTGTAGATTTGAGGAATAGTAGCAAACAGGAGAATTTTAAAAGACAGCTATTGAATTTCTCTATTGGAACTGAGTGGTCTGTTCTAACTCTTTATTATTGGTGCCTTACAAATTGAAGTATCTTGCTTATACAAAGATAAAGGTGTCAGTGCTTTAATCTTAAAGCACTTTTTGATGTCATTCATCCTTCCGCATTTGTGAAAATGGATATATAAAACAGACTTTTAGAACAATGACATTTATAATGATTCATAAGAGATTAAATTAGATTTCTTTTACAAGAAAAGAGTGATGCAAAGAAACAAACACATTGGCCAATCTGCAGCTCAGGTAGCCCTTGCCATCTCTGACTCTCAAAAAAGCTACTTCACTGCCACAAGACACATTTGCAGTCCAAACACAAAGAACCATCCAAAGTCAGGAAACAATTTTTACTGGGTTGTCTGTGCCTTATCTCTCCTCATTAGAAACCACAAAAGAGGTTAAAAATTACTTAAAATATAATCAGTTTTAATGTTAAATTCTTTACAGGCTATAAATTATTACAGAGTATAAGATGTCAAGGAAAAAAAGGAGCATGAAGAATTATTTAGTTCTGATATCTGATAGAATTTTCTGGATGAGGATAAGTAACGACATGACTACCAGCCAACATTTTGATGGAGATGGCATTTTATGGCAACGCCATAAGTTTCTGAATTCAGAAAGCAAATGCTTTGACTACAACTGCTGCTTTTTTCTCCTGCTCTAATCTATTTTTCTATTAGTATATGGAGAAAATGTATTATTTGAAATATTAATATTATTACTACTTTGGTTTCACTTTGACTTATCTTCAGTTTTCACTTTCTAATGAAGAATCAAAATGGTTGAATTTGTCTTTATAAAATACATAATTTTTTTGAACTCATGTATCCCAGGATAGTCTTGAATTCACCATATGACTCTTGCCTGCTCCTCTGATTCCATCTCTGCTGTTGGTGTTATTACAAGCATGCATCATCATTCCCAGCAAGCTTGGGCTCTAGAAAAGAGAGAGGCAGGCAAAGTAATTACTGATTGATTACTGATTCTTCCTTGCAATTTTATCATTGAACATAAAAAATCTTACACAATATAAAAAACGGTACTAGATATAAACTTTAATTCAGGGGCAGGATTTTTAGTAGGGAGAAAAACAAATGTTCAGGTTTTTATTACTGTAATCTTTAAAATCAAATCTATTTTTACAGATATCACCATTTGAGTTTAACAAAAGTGATGACATGAAACTATGGGAAGAGTGACTAACGCCTGAGAAATTCCCACAAAGAACAGTGACGCTAAATTGGCTGAAGTTATAACACTGCTTGAATGTACATTCAGTCTCCTGATTGGTTAGTCAGTAATCTTAAAACATCTCAAAGAAGCATCCTTAGACTTTGCTCTACTGTCACGTACTCAAACACATAAGGGACAGTCAAGCTGAAATGAATGCCACACAGACACGTATACACAGGATCGTAATAATACCTCCTCCCTCTATTATCTGAGTCTTCCCTCCTAGCATGAGAATGCTCCCCATCTTTCATGCATTAGTCATTTGTGCCTATGTTTGCCTGATGCAGACACACTGAAGTACCAGAAATCTGATATGGGCTTATCTCAGGGAGCACTGTCAGTCACTGTGGTGCTTCTCCAGAGCATGAACTGGTCAGCAGATGAGACTTTGCACATGAGTCCTTAGACTACAGTAAAAAGGAGATTGATAAATGTGCAATGATACCTTCATATCAAAATATTGTGAGAGATGGTTACTATGAGACAAGAAGCTTCCTGGAAAGGGAATTCCAAATTCTGTAGAATGGAAAATATTTATTCTAAATGTCAGCTACCCTATTGTTTGAGCAAAGTGTATAAACAAATTACAGTTTTCATACATCTCATAAATGGGCAACTACAATTGTTAGACCCTGAACCTGCTCTAGTACAAACGTTCTTTCCTGGTCCATCACTCCATTTAAGCACAAAATGTACCTTGAAACAGTGGCTGAGAATTACTCCAACTTGACTTCAGCTAGCAATATAAACACAAGAAAAATAAAACTTTGTGTGTGTGTAGCTTTATCACTTCAGAATTGGAGAGACATGGGCGAAAATATGTGAGTGAGGGACATAAAATATTTGTAAAAATTATGACAGAAGTTATGAACCCTGTCACTTAGATGAATTCTACAATGAATAATTATTCACTTAAAAAAGCCCTTTCTACTGATGCCTTTCCTGAAGACATTCTTACATGCGATTCTGCAGCCACATGGGGGCACACTGACATTATATTTCCAAACCAAATGTTACAGCTGTAGTTTGAATTACCAATGATTACACTGATGAAATATATATCAGAAGCATATAAAGAATCTTATTTCATACTGTCCTTCTAGCCCAATAGTATGTGCTGGTCTCCTGATGATCATAGTAAATAACGTAAGTCATACGTGACACACTATTAAAGCATCTCCAACTGTAGAATTATGCAAATGCATATTCCTTGCATGGTCTTATTATACATTTAGTTATTTTTAATTGTTTAAAACTGAGAGGTGATTAATGTTTAAACCTCTCCTTATTCTATACTATGTTTCAAATACTGGTTAGTTCACAATGTTGAGTATAGGGAAAATAATCTGATGGTTCGCTACTACCATGCTTTGAGTTGTAACCCACTGGCTGCTCATTAATGCATGTCTTTTCATAAAACATAAATCACAGAAAAATGTCCTTCTGTTAAATATGGCAGACATCCTATTACTTTGTTTATTACAATGCTTTGTTTTCAGCCATCACTACATCATCAGAGGCAAACATCCCTGGGCTGACACATTTCGCATTTGTAATGGCACAAATTTTCCTTCCAGCCACATTTGTCACACCAGTTTAGTAATAAAAGAATCATATAAAAGAATAAAAGGCCCCAATTTACATCATGGGGATAGTAATGGCCTTCTAATTACTATGAACCTTTCAAATAAGGAATAATGTATGAGACTCATAGCCAAAAACATTTGAAAAGACATATTTTCTAAAGTGGTCAATTTGTTGTAAAAGCAAGCACACATACGTGATTGAAAATTGTCAGTTTTTGCTTCAATGTATAATACTACGTTTTCTCTTCTGAGCAAGAAAAAAAATCAAATATTAAAGATTTTCTATTATGGCCAATGGAAAATATTTAAATTTTAACCCATTAAAAATCTCAGACTGGAGAAAATACCTAGCTGGCTGTACATAGGCACAGCATAGGTTTGCTATGAAGAGCACCCTGTCCAGAGGAGAAGATTATGCTTGATACAATTCTATTTACGAAATTAATAGTTTGTGTATTGGGTGGGTGAGAGGGTTCTGAGACCAAGGCGCTTCCCCCGCAGCCCGACAACCTGCATTTGACCCCAAGACCAACATGAAATAAAGAAAGAGCTGGTTCCAAAGGTTGTGTTCTGATGTCCACATATGCACATAACTCACATGTCCCCACATACACAATCTAAATAGGGAAATTTTAAAAATCAGAATATTTTATTCCACTTAAATATATGGGTATGCAAGTGTATATGCTTACACAAGGAATATAAGATAATTCACCAGCAAAGAAGCAATTGTGTTCCTTACAGAGTTAAGCAAAGAGCAAGTCTGTCAATCCACAGAGTCCACAGATGTGCAAGCCATCCCCTACCATCTCTTTTCATACATAATACTATGTACGGCCCTGACATCTTCAGCAATGGCATGGCATTTCCACCATTTAAAATAAAAGTGGATACTTTCATCATCAAAATATCCATAAATCATTTACATTACACAACAGGAGATATAAACAAAAGTACTGTTCTGAAAAATACTGCTCTCTGTAGGTACAAAAAGTTCTGTGACAGGGTTTAGGACACAACTCCTCATTGTGTGGTGCCTCAAAACCTGAGACCACAGCCTGAGTAGCAACGTCTCTGAACTTCTCCCACCTTGTCCTCTGGAGGAGGATGTAGGAGATTCTCCGATCTTTCTCTAAAGACCAGCCTTTGCTTCTCCCCATGGCAAAGGATGAAGGGACAGACATGTGAAGAGGAGTTGGAACGAAGAGGTTTTGCTAAGTCACACAACCCCCTTTGTTCAATCACGAACCTATTTTGAATGTTCATACTGTTGTATTTTAAATCAGCAGGAAGGAGTCACACCATACAACAAGACCCACGTGGGAGATTTATTGAGGGGAGGGAAGAGAAGTGGCAGAAAAGGGGCCAGAGACCGGTACATGCAGATGAGAGCGAAGGAAGAGAAAGAGAAAGAAATAGGAGTGAGCAACACCAGTCTTTTTTTTTAAAAAAAAAAAAAAAAAAAAAAAAAAAAAACACATAGCGAATGCACACAGGAGTTACTATTAAGGATTAGTGGCTGCAGCTGAGGAAATATCCTGTCAGGACCCTAAGGACACACATGCCATTAGGCAGGGATGCCTAAATGCTAACATTCTGCACTTCTTAAAGATTCGTGATTCATTAGACTTGGGGAAACAAACAAGAAATCACCCATACAGCATTTCATTAAGAATCTCTGGAAATAAATTTTCCGGAAGGATGAATTCTCTACAGAAAAATTAGAAAAGTCTTAGCCAACTGTAATAGCTTGATTGTTTAAAGGGTAGTTCTAGTACAAATTGAATAATTTTTATTTATTTTAAATAATCATCTTTTTAAAATTATGATTTTATTTATTGACATATTAACCATCTGTTTTTCTGGACTCCAAGGTGAGTACCATTCATAATGACACTCTATATTTCTTGATTTCTTATTGAAGTGGGCTTTCTGTTTTCAACTATTA